TATATTATATTTTGGGTCAGCTACTGGGAAACTTTCCCTGCATGGTTCCTTCTTTAACTCTTGCAGTTGAAAATCCGTTGAGCCGCTTGCAGACGGAGACGAAGAATCCTTATAAGAATGAGAAAATTAAGGTCACACTGGACTTGAGCAAAAATATTAAAAATACTATAAATTGGAATTTCAGTGGTTAAGACGCTGCTTGCATCACACACTGAAATCTGTTTAAATAACTGAGTCTAGCTGCATTGTGGGTAATGTTGGCATCACTTGTCTTCGAGGAGGTTGAGGCCATCAGATGCCAATCCACCTCTCTAGTCTCGACAAACCTGCCCGTGTCATGACTCCCAGTCTTTCACCCTCCTCTGCCTCTGCTGCCTCCTCGTCAAGCCTTCAGCCACTTCATTCATCTCACCTGTCCCTGTCATCAGCTCATTACACACACCTGCTCCTCCTGCTATATATTCACCAGCCAGCCACCAGTCCCCTGCCAGATTATTGAACGCTATTTGCCAGTAGATCTTCCAGCCTTTCACCTTGCCTGATCACAGCCCCGGACCTTGTTTGTTTGTTTTTTTGCCTGACCCCTGCATTGAACTCTGCCTGCCACCACGACCCTCGCCTGTCTACCACCTCTCCAGCCTGCTCCCTGTACCTGCTTGTCCTGACCTGGTTTTGACCAATGCCTCCTCCCCGGCTCTGTCTCCTGCCTCGCCCTCCTCTGGTAACGCTACATCAATAAAGACTTTTAAATAAACTTTTACAGTGATTGGTGTCATCACGGGTCTTCCAGGTTCTGGTCATAGCCCTTCTCTATATGACTTCAATGTTTTCAACTTTTCTCTGTAGATTTTTACCCAAACAGCTCTGTACCAGGTCAATTATTTACATGTTGGATGAAGACAGATGTGTAAAAAAGCAGAAACCCACCACCAAACTCATCCTGCTTCACACTGCTGCTATCCATCACCTCAGAGTCAGCAGACGACGGACAAACGGAGGGCCTGTTGGAGCTCTGAAAGGGCAGGCGCAGCCAAGTGCTAAATGAACTGTTTGTTTTAACTGTTGGATCAGCTTTTTTGTCACAGCCAGAGAGAAGGAGATTAAGACAGTCTCTGCTGAAATAATTATTTGGATTGAAGGTCAGAAAATTAGCTGGACATTGCAATGAAGGAGGAGAAATGAAAGTGTTGTGAGCTTAGATCTTTCCTGATTATACAGGGCTTGTTTGTCAGGCTTGTAGCTTCAAATCAGCAGATTAATTTAGTTATTAGACAAATTAAACCACAGTAAATATAAAAGCTATTCAACCAACCTTGCCCTATTGACCCTTTGCACCGACGTCACCTAATCACGTGGGCCCACCATGGTGGACGGCAAAAGCATGTAAACAGCGAGCGACACGAGTACTAAACAAAGGGAAAAGTTGAGCCTGAAATTGTTTTTGCGATCAAAACAAAAACAAAATTCCTCCAACATTCCTTTCACTAGTTCATGCCCAATTCAGTTATCAGAAGAAGTAGCGCATCTAGCGGGGGCTCAGAGAGAGCAGTATGTCAACTAGCTTACCAACGTTAGCTTACGTTCTCTCTGCAGCTGTTCACCGATGTAAACATGTTGCTGACTTTGCCTAAATTCACCCCTCTGGATCTGTAACTTTATGTTATAAACAGCGTTTCACTTTACACCGAAGCAGATTTTTAAAAAGTCCGAATCTCTACCTGCTTCTGTTGCTGGTGGTGTTATCGGGTTCAGCTGCTGCTCTCAGACCGGAATGAGAAGATCTCTGAATGCCGACGCTCATATAAATAAATAAATGATGTAATTACACGTAATCATACATCGGAGCTTTAATATTGTTAATAATTGTCTCGCTTTACTCTACAGTGGACGGCGCGCATCCTCCGTAGTGAAATACCGATCCATCAGGATTATCAATAACTAGTATAAACACATCACATTTATCCCTGTCTCTGTCTTCCTCGTGAAACAAATGAACGTTAATCTTACCCGGTAAAAACATGTTTTTTGCTAATCTGAGGCCTGCTAGTCTGCTTGATTGATCGCTGCAGTTCATCTCCGTCCTCAGTCTCCATCAAAGTTATTAAAAAGACAAAACGAGTTGCGTTTATGTCCTTGTCTGTTAGTGCAGCCAACCACGCAGCATGCTAAAACCATTTTACCGCCAAATCAACAAAATAAAAGCGATAAAAGGCTACAAACTGGCTTGTTTTGACTACCTTCACTGGAGTTTCTATGGGTGTAAACGGTCTTTTTGCCGTCCATCATGGCGAAGGGGGCGGTCACGAGTGGCGTGACGTCACGTGCAAAGGGTCAATAGCAGGGGTATTCAATTCCAGGCATGGAGAGCCGGTATCCAGCATGTTTTAGCAGTCTCTCTGCTCCAACACACCTGATTCAGTGGTTGCCTCACCTGTGCAGCAGCTCATCGAGCTCTGCAGATGCCTGTTGATGACCTGCTGATTGACAGCAGGTGTGTAGAAACAGAGTTAAAACTAAAACATGCTGGACACCAGCCCTTCAGACCCAGGAATGAATGCCCCCACCCTATATAAAAAATAACCCTTCCCCTTGTTGAGTCACGAATTATCTCTGATTAACCACGTTATTTGTAAAGCTGAGTTCAGTTCCACCAGTCACAGTCAAGCCTGATTACTGCCAGACCTATAAAATCCCTTTAATACAACCAGTCAAAGTGAAGTAGGCCAAAAGAACTCAAAAAGCAACATGCACCATTCAAAATAAATTAAGTACTCAGAAGTTCTAAAGCCCTGCAGAAGACTCAACAACGCAAAATAACGGCATCATGAGATAGTTGCAAGGAGAAAACCTTCAGCCAAGAAATCAAAACGAACTGTGTCTAAAGAAGGTTGCTCTATCCACGCTCCATTGTAGCCTCAGCAAGTCTACCATTGGCTTGGCTAAGTTTAGGCCAATCACAGGGCTCTATGTTTGCACAAAGACACTGGGCGGGCTTAGCACCATTATGGCTGAGCTTTACATTTTTTTAATATTGACAGCAAAAACAACAAAAACAAGGCAATGGCTCAAGAACGACATTCGTTTGAAACGGCTTTGGCATCAACTTTGGATGATTTAGACGTGGGCTTTTCTTTGAGACGCGAGCAAATAAAGGTACTTCTTCAATGGTGCATGGCGGACTGCTCCGTTTTCCATAGCAATGAATGTGTCACGTTGTTTGTTGCTCTGAAAGACAACTGTAGATTACATCCTATGACTGAGATCTGTCCACAGGTTGTGGTCAGACTATGTAGGTACATATATAGAAAAGTTTGCCAGGCAAGAAAGTCTCTGCTGACTAAAAAAGAACACAAAGACCTGTCTCACATTTACCAATTAGTAAAAAAAAACACTTTTGGGAAAACATTTAGCTACAATTGGGAGTAAACCTAACTGCATTTCAGAATAAACAACAATCAAACATGGTGGTGGTACTATGATGGTTTGGGAACCTGGATGACTTGGGCTGTAATTAATGAAACTATGACTTTTGCTCTAAAATACTTTGAAGGATGACGTCTGACCATCACCTTTAATCTGAAGCACACGTCGTGCTGCAGGACAATGACGCAAAGCACATCAGACAGTTTATTTGTCTCAGTGTTCATTTGTCTTCTGCAGAAACCTTTAATGTTAGAGGAGCTTTTCCCACCCAGGACTTAATTATAAGTCAAGTTGACACCAACAGTTGCAGGCAAAGTTTAAATAAAGAATACAAAATCTAGAGGAACCTCTTAACTCAAGCTCTAGAGTTTAATTTCAGACCCTCTAAATAAAAAATGGCATCACATAGTGAAAGAAAGTAGATAAAACACTGATTTGCTACTTGAAAAGAACACCAAAAATATGAGAAATTGAGAAAGTTAGGCTTCCCATCTTAGCCTTCGTGTATGAGGAGTAGCATTTGCTCATTTATCACTGTTTGACATCTACCTGCTGTCACATCAATCACATCCAGGCCAATCTGTGCAGAGCTGCAGAGGAAGCTGACAAGGTGAGAGCTGCATCCGTCTGCAAAGATGTACTCATGCTCTCGAGCACACAACATACACACTCACACACACACTGGTGAAAACACATTTTCACTTGCGGTGTTAAAGCAGAAGAGGGCTTAGATCTAAACGAGTGTTAAGAACTGCTGGGATACGAAGAAGAAGCAGGTGTAAACCAGGCTTTCTTCACCATGTGTGCTCCAGGATGATTGCTGTCAACAGGTGCCACACACAAAAAGAGCCAAAGGAGCCTGACAGACAGCCAAGTGGGGATTTTACAGCTTGCATTTTTGCGATTGAAACTTTATTTGTCTGAGACAAAACCTGACTTTTCTCCCCTTTCCCCTCCACTGGCTCCAGATCAGCTACAGCAACAGTTTATTCAACGAGATGAGTCACTCTGCACCTCCTGGAGCAGGTTCTAGTCCTCATGCGATGCGCTTCATCGTCTCCAACATCCACGGAGGCTGGAAAAACACGCAAAAGCGCGCACCTCCATCCACCTAATGTCACGTCTCTCTGTGACTGATAACATCTGCACATGCTTCACAGTGACGCACACCGAGCATCTTTCACCTATAGACATGTAGCCTGTAAATAACACATCCGGCTGACACCTTACTTACTCCGGATCAGCGAGAGCCGAATGACCGCCAGTCAGCGCCTCCTTCACCTTCTATTCCAGACAGAAAGACGCGGGGGGATGCGCCTGTGCAAGTGTAAACTTCCGCGACACCTGTCAGCCTGCCTCCCGGATACTTTTCTCCCCTCCTGCCCCTCGACTACACGGGTTATCGTTTCCCCCCAGAACGCAGCAAACGCAGGCACGGCTGAATGGGAGATCACGAGGTTTGTATTAGAGAAGGAGGAGGAGGAGGTGCGCGATTATAGGTGCCCAACCTTGGTTCTTCCCTTGTTGGTGATACAGAGCGGTCTCACGATGCAGGACGGAGCGGAGGGGTTTCCAGGGTTAAAAAATGTGATTTAGTTCCCCGGCTGAGCTGGTGTCGAGTCCATCTTTTCTTCTGCTGGCATCTTGGCATCCTGCTCTGTTCCTGCAGAGGTGTTGGGAGGAGGAGGAGGCGCTCAGCTGACTGGAGGCTTCATTCACAAAGCCAAGCACGGCGATATGGGAGCTCATTTCCGCCACGTCAGAGAAAAACGCTCAAAGAAAGTAATTGTATTAACTTTTAAAATCTAAAGACTTATTTAAAAGATGAAAAGTTACAATCATTAGATAGAAAATCAAATACTTGAAACACGTGACTTGCTGTGCCATTATTATGAGACAAAAGTCATAATTATAATATATAAACACCATGAGCTACAAAGTCATTACTATTAGAAATAAAGTCATGAATTTGTACAAAATTATTTAGATATAAATACATAATAAAGTCACAACTGTGAGCTTCAGCTTTAGGATATTAGGTCAAAATTATGATATAGTTATTATCATTAGAAACAAAAAAGTGAGCTACTAATTAGATATGAAGTCATAATTATGATTTATAGTCATAATTATTAGTAAATGTGAGCTGCAAATTATGAGAGAAACTCAAAAATACAAAACAAAATGTCATTTGTGAATTATTGTGTCATTGTTTTGGGACAACAGTCATGATTATAATATATGGTCATAATTATGACACATAAAGTCATAACTGTGAGCTACAAAGCCATTGCTATTAAAGTCAATTATGATTATTAGTCAAAATTATGCCAAATGTGCAATTATTTTATATTCTACATTATGAAATGCAAAATTATGATTGTCAGATATGTTCATAATTAAATGCCTCCTTTCAGTCATAATAGTCATAATTCTGTTGCCCTGCGATGGACTGGCTCTCTGTCCAGGGTGTACCCCGCCTGATTGCCCATTGACCGCTGGAGATAGGCACCAGCCCCCCCCCCCCCCCCCCCCCCACACACACACACACACACACACACACCCCAATGTGCTTTCTGTCACTCTAAATCAGACCCATCTCTGATGTTTTTATTTCTTAAGTTTGTATGAACAGTACATTTTATACCACTTTTACATCTCTGAAGTGAAACAGATGTCACATAAGCACTTGAGGAAGTGGGACACTAAATGTAAACAATGGATAAAACAAAATAACATATTTTGTGAGGTACTGGTTAGAGATAGTTGGGAAGCACTGATCTAGGTAATGCACCACAAGCATTTTTATTTTAGCTTGTTTGGCATCGAAACAATTAGAATCCTCTTCTTTTTCTGTCACACCCAATACGTACATAACACACACCAATTTCTATGTCACAGCTGATGCCTTCATTAAATCTAATAAAATCTATAGTAACTATAGTCTGGTGACTAGTGTCTAGTTTAGCTACATTTAGCTTAGCTGGAGTAATATAGCCTAAAGGTTGGTTTATGCTTGACGCGTCCGCGAGGTCCGCATGGCTCCGCGCGGAAAAGTTGCGTCATTTTGCGTCATTTTAACAACCACGCCCCTCTACCACGCCTCCGCACGGACCAAAATTTCCGCAACGCACACCTAGGAAATTTTCTAACCACGCGGACTGTCGGACGCAGAAAAACATGGCGGACCGGCAAGAACTAGTATGGCAGAGGTTCGTAAATACAGACATTTATATGATTCAGCTCTCAAAGATCGCCGTGATCAACATGTTGTTAATAATTCTTGGAGAGAAATAGCTCGCACTGTCGGAAAAGATGAGGACGCTGTAAAGCAGTGTTGTAAACAGTAATTTCTACTTCTACTATGGTGTCGTGTTGGATGCATGCCGTAGAGCTCCATGCTGCCCCGTTCAGTTTGGGAGAATATTGGCTCACCGCAGAGACGAGCCGCATGAACCGTAAACGCTGCGAGTTGTGAAGAGTGTTCCATCCGCGAGCCGCATCACCAAGCGGAAAGTGAATGCGTCAAGCATAAACCAAGCTTAACTCTGCCTCAACTGGTGACTTTTTTACTTCACTGTCAGCCAGACAAAATGTTGCTGCAGAGAAACGCCCAAGGTACTGACCCCACAATAGAAAATCAGAATGTCCACATTTATTTCAAACAATCTCAAACGTCACACTAAAATAAAGCTTTTAGCTCTGATTTAATTATTTCTTTATTGATATCAGTTTTCCCTTTGTTGTAGGTAATCCTCAGGTGTCAGCAGGAGGAGGTGACCACCTGCATAACGGAGCACCCTGGTTCTGAGCCAGTTGCACCTTTGTGCAGCTCTTTGGGGAGACGATGATCAGCAGGTTAAACAACTGTAAAATTGATTTTGTTCATACTTTTTGTTTAGATCTCATACATCACCAGTTTTTCTTTCTTACAGACACATGCCTCCGTGTGGTCAGGTGGTGTTGGTGTGATCTGGGAGGGCACACTCATGTCGTCATCTCCTTGTGCCGTCTCCAGGATCATGATGGGAGATCTCTGTGCCTGTAAAGCAGGGGTATTTACTTCTGGGCCTGGAGGGGCGGTATCCAGCACGTTTTAATTTTAACTCTGTTTCAACACACCTGATTTCAGTCAGCAGATAATTAACAGGCTTCTGCAGAGCTGCTGCACAGGTAATTCAACCACTGATTCAAGTGTGTTGGAGCAGGGAAACAAATAAAACGTGCTGGATACCAGCCATCCAGGACTAGAATTGAATACCCCTGCTATAAAGCCTTCCTCCCTCCTCTGGACTTTAAACATTAGTATTTTATAATGGTTCACCTGATTTAGTAAATAAATCTCAATTTATAAATTTCCTGTTTTGGTGCCTGTCCATAAAATCCTGCATTAGACACTGAAAGCTGAATGGATGCCTTTCATTCACGTTGGCATTCAATGTATTTTTTAAGATACACTTGAAATTAATATCAGCTGTTTAACAGAGTGGTGCAAAATAATTGCTAATGTCATGATTTTTGAAACAACCTGACCTTCGTGCAGAGAAACTCAGGAGACAAATGAGCTAAAAACAGTTTATTAAAATGTATGACGGATGACTGAAGAGGTAACTGCTGGAGATCAGGAACCAGAAGCTTCTGCGAGGAAGAGCAGAGGTTAGTAAGAGGCAACAGGTCAGGTTTTTCTTAGACTGTGCAGGTAGCTTACAGAGACTGAGAAACGCCACGGAGATGGAGCCACAGGTTTTAGTGTTTAAAGATCAGAAGGCCCTGAGGTAAAATTGAGTGTTAGTAATGACTAAAGAAAGACTTACAAAAGGAAAAGTTTAGGTACTTACGGTCTGAAGTTGTAGCGCAGACGGGAGACAGCAGAATGGTGGAGAAACAACCAGAAGTCTGGGAGAATGACAGCATGAGTTGCAAGCAGGTAGGTAGTGGGTAAGCCGACTGCCGGTATGGTTGTGTGATCAGGAGCTTCAGGGAAAGAATTCCCATAGATCTGCATAGAAAATGAGAACGTAAGTTTGAAAAACGGCAGAGTCATGGGCTAGATATGGGTTATAACACTGATGAGTGACCAGCTACCAGCTTTTATTCAAGGATGGGGTTACAGGTGTGTGAGGATGGGCCTGCCCCATGAGAAGAGTTTTCAGGTAAGCCTCTCCATGGTGCTCTGCAATGGTGACTAGCAAGGCTAACGAAGAGATTAAAGGGAACACAAACCCAGGACTCCGACCCAAACTCCTGACAGCAACACAACGACTCCTCATACAGGCGGTTGTTCCACGGGAGTACAGTCACACGCAGCTGCCCAAAGTTCAGCATCAGGCAGCCTGTAGGCGATGTAATCATACGTGGCTTCTGAGCATGCAAGTTTACTCTAGCTGTACAGCGTACAATAATAATAAAGATTTATATTCAGTTGTGTTGCTCACCTTACAGGTTCTTTTAAAATCTTAACCTGTGCCTGCTTACAGCAGGTCTTTCAGGTCTTTTGAACTCGACACAGAGAGGTTCAGGCACAGGTACTTAGTCAGACTCCTGAGAAGGTAGAGCATCCACCACCACAGACTCGAACAATAGGTCCATATGCTTGTCAACTGGAAACAATGGGAAAAGATTACCATTAGTACAGATACTTATCCATAACCATCACTGTGGGTTTATTATACAGCATATGAACTACATGAGGTGGGATTGGTCTGCAGTAGGGATGTGTATTTTTGACTGAATTTATTGTAGGAATATTCAATAAACAGTCCAAGCTGATACTTAACATGTATAACATGAGTTATCTGAACCATAATAGCGGGATTTAAATTTCAATGGTGGAAACAAAACCCAATGCACACTGCTGCCAACTAGCGGTCGACATTTAAAGTGCACCAAAAACAAAGAAAATAAACAAATGTTTGCATGTAAATTCTTCCAAAAATTAGATACACTGCTTTTGAAAATGGATGTAATATCTCAGGAAAAAATATCACAATATATTATCATATCGATATTTTAGAGACACAGTTTGAGAATATCGATACAATATCACTGGAAAAATATATCGCGATATATTGCCATATTGATATTTTCTTACATCCCTTGTCTGCAGTGTACTTTGTGTACACTATGGTGTGTCTTAGCTCACCAGCTGCAGTTGATGCATGTGGCCGTGTAGCACTTCCATTGTAATGCAATGCAGTAGTTTTCAATTTAAAAAGAAAGAAAAGAATAAATGAAAAATAAATTGCTTTTAGACAAAAATATAGATTTTATGTAAAAAGTAAATAATTAAAAGCATGTATTTAACTCATTATTGATTATCTGTCCTGGATAACATTCTTTTGATGGAGAATACAGAACAAATGACAGAAAGCACATTGAATCTGATTTGTCCTGTTCTGACGAACAAATGTCAGATCTGTATACTGGTAAGAAATTTATAATCAAACATACTCACTTAGATAATTATTCAGTCAGAGTTACATCATATAATCCATTTGTTTCACTGCAAAAGGTGCAGGCAGAACTATGAACTAGTTTAGCCCGTCCAAGTAACATGGAATAAAAAATACATGTATCTGTATGTAGATGTAGTTTAAATGTCTTCCCACAATAGCTCATGTAGATTCTGTCTGAGTTATACCATAAAAATCCTGCAGTTCCACTAAAAGAGTATTTACCTGCAAAACAGCCTGTTAGCTCAGCTTTCTGCTGCTTCCTCTGTAGCAAGTTAGCAGTACATAGGTTAGCTCCAGTAGCTGCAAAGCCTCTGATGTTCCACAGATTCCTGAAAAGTTAGCAAACTTAACATAAACTGCAATAATTAATTCCACGAAACCAGTAATGAATATGTTGAGTTTTTAATATGTCACTCTGGAACAATAGACCATTGTCCCGAGGCTAGCACAATGGCTTGCTTAGCAGCTAGCTAGTGAGCTAACATCTGGTTAAAACCAACTTAAAAAGTGGCTTAACTTACAGATTAACTAAGAAAAGATAAAATATATTATCAATACTCACTTTAGATCCTCAGTAGACACCACAGACAGCAGAAATAATGTGTTTGGGGCTCCAAATTCATGTTGTTGACCGAGGTGGAAAAAAAATGTCTTGGAGGCTACATCACTTCCGGGTCACTGAACTGTCACTCAAGAGAAACCACTGTCCTATGGGAGAGGACTTCTCAGAAGTCCCACCCACCCGAAAGGGTTGTGTCAGAATTGCAACCAAAAACTCAGGGATTGCAAAGGAGAAAGCCAGAAAGTGTAAGTGCAAATCTAGTAGTGAGAGCAAAGTTGTGAGCAGCGAAAACGAAACTAAGGAAACTGATAACAAAAAACACATAGAGGCAAACAGAAAAAGGAAACATACTTTGTTACTCATTTTAAGAAGTTGATTCAGATCGTAAGTTTTTCTTTTGAAACATTTTTTTCTCTCTCAATGTCTTAATATTTGTTTGATCTTCAAAGTGTTTTTCTTGATCCTATTGGCACAGATCTAATCCGATACATATCCATCAAGCTTACTTTAATTCAGGTTGAACAGATATCCGTGCTTTTTAAAATCACACACAACAAAAGTTTGAACTAGATTATGTCACAGTTGATTAATAAAGGAAAATCAGGGCGGCTATTAAAGATCCAGAGTCCTACTGAGGGGATCTGCTCCGTCCGTGTGCAGCGGTCTCTGGCAGAACTCCAGAACCGATGCAGACTGCTTCAGAGAAAAAAATCTGGCTCTCTGTTCTTTTTATTAGAGCGCTCACTGCCTTCAGAAACTGCTGATGTGCCAATGCAGAGTCAGAACACTTCCTGGGCTTGTGCCCAACATGGTAGGATTCTGCAAAATAAGGAGTTCATCCAATTTAGTGATTACTTTGTAGACATTCTAAATCAAGGAACGATGCCTTCTCTGTATTAAGTGTATTGCTGTTTCCCCAAAACCAAACATCAGTAGAGCAGTGTTCAAACCTGCATATCCAAATCGTTAGACTTTATTTACAGCACAAAAATACCTGCATGAGTCACTGCGTGCTAACACAAGGTACGCCCTTGACCTACATAGAGAGAATGCACAGAATCAGTCACAGTGCTGTTGCTGCTGCTGGGACAGGTTCCTCCTAAACTGGGAATCAATCACCTCTGATACATTTATAAAGGTAAATGCATCAGATTGGTTCAGAGTCTGCATAACAACCAATTAAATAACACAGCCTAAACTTTAAAGAATGTCTGTTTTTTAATCAACACATTTTGCAATCAAAGGTGCATAAAATAAATAAATAAACAAGAACACAGGTAAATAGACAGTAATAAGAACAACTATTGCATAAAGATCAGGAAGAGGATGCATGGTGGAGCAGTTGGTGTAGCACTGTTGCTTGCAGAAGGAAGGTTGCAGGTTCAAATCCCAGCTGCCGCCTTTCTGTACCGAGTTAGCAAGTTCTCCATCAGAGGTGTGGGTTTTCTCCGGGTACTTTGGCTGCAGACTGAAAGCTTCTCCATTAGGTTGATTGAAGGCTCTATCGCCTCACTCACACCAAATATGGAATGGATGCAGTCCGGTTTCCACAGATCATTGAGTCCGACCAAACCATTCCCATTCAGCACCGAAAGTTTCCATGCAGAGAATTTTTTTTCCAGACGCTCCATGTGGATTGTCATGAAGTATATATATGAGACAGACAGGAAGTGATATGTTTCAACAAGGTATATTTGGTGTATTTCAAAGTAAAACATGTGTTGCGTTGTTTTATCCAGCTTTCTTGGTATTATTAACAACAGGGATGTAAGTTCACAGTGTATGATAATTCACGTTATTTTACAAGTTTAACTTTAAACTTAATAAACGTAGTCTTATCAAACCTGCTGTCAGTCGTGGCAGATGGACGCTCATAATGGGCCAGGATCTGCTGAAGGTTTTTTCCAGTTAAAGGAGCGTTTTCCTCTCCACGGTCGCTACGTGCTTGCTCCGTATGGCTGTAAAGTTACTGACACAACAAGTCACTTGATGCATTCTGCTGGGTTTCCTCACTTAGGAAACTTTTAAATATTTAGCATAATGAACTGAACTAGTGCGCTGATGCATAGGTTCAGATGGAATGTTTACTTTGTAAATAAAGACATGTTTATGTTTATTCATTTAGCAGACGCTTTTATCCAAAGCGACTTACAATTCATAACCTATGGGGTATGTTGTGATCTGTGGGGGAAACCGGAGTACCCGGAGGAAACCCACGCATGCATGGGGAGAACACGCAACTCCATTCAGAAAGGGTGCAGCCGAGTTTCGAACCTGCAACCTTCGTGCTGCGAGGCAACAGTGCTAACCACTGCGCCACCATGCAGCCCAAATACATAAATAAACTGAAATGAATTGTGTCAAATTTCGAATCCTCTGATGTTCTCGTGGGAGCAGATTTTCGGAGACGTTCAGCACACGATTTGTAGTTGGTAAAAATGGTCGT